CACAAGATTACTTTTTAAGGTCAGGGCAAGGAATCCCCCCAAACCTGTTAGTTATAATCAACATTTGCCATGTTCAAAGCACCATGCTATTTCAACAGCTAAAGTGTCTTATCTCCATCAATCTCGAGAGAGCAATCACCTGCCTCTATAGATTTTGTGTCAGAGAACTCAGGGAACTGGTCAAAGTAAATATTTACACTTTGAAATCTCTTATCAAATTTCAGACTATAATAAAATCAGCCCTTGGCTGGCAAATAATCTTTTAGCACTCATGATGTCATGTAAATTCTCAAGGTTTTCTTCCCAAATACACAAAATATATTTTAGGATACCTGATAATTAAAATATTTTTAGTGTTAAGTGCAGGGATAATCGTTCACTTGCATCTATTTTTCTAAATGACCAAAATATATAGAAAATAGAGGAACTCTACTTTGGTGTTACAAAGCACTTGTTGGTATCTAACTAATATGTCTATCAAAGCTTCTATTTGAATAAAGATACTCAGGTGGTGTTGGATGTCTGGTCAGTACTTACAGCTCTTGACAGTTTTACTGATAGATTCCACCAGTTTCCTCAGAGGCTTCTGGTCCATGTCCAATGTGGCTTCAACACACTGTAGACTTCTGATAGCCTAGCTCTAAGCCTAGGCGTACTGGCCTGCCACTGATTCCACAGTTCACTACACCGTACCCAACAAAGAATGTGACCATGGCAACATTCTAGCAAACAAGCATAGGTTCTCGAATAATTGGAAAATATGCAACAATGGTTGTTACTCAATACTAAGGTAGTGATTTCAGTATTACTGTGATCCAAAATATTACAGCAATTGCAACATTTACCAACATTTACCATTTACCAACAAGTACCATTAAGTGCTAAACAGCACTTAAAGTGGTACTTAATATTACTGCTATTTATATTTCCTCAGCAAAAATTCTACAGTTGAAAATGTTTCCCTCCTATTTGAACACAATGACTGAATAAGATTATTAAGATCTTAAAGTTGAAATAATTTCCAGGCTATAAATAGCTCCTTTTATAGGTTATAACCTCTTTGGGAACTTTAACTAAGCACCATCTCACGATACCCAAACAGAGGTTTTAATCTGGGAGCTTCTAGACAATGTTAAATCCCACTTTTACCCCTCCGACTAATATCTGACTAACTGGTAGGAAAACATGATGTAACAATGCCAAAACTGGCCAAGAAACAACTGTTCTAACTCTTGCCTATTGTCAAATCTGAGTACAGAGAACAAACATTTTCTGGTCTATGTCTGCTGGTCCTTACCTTACTGTGGTAAGGCAAAAAAAAAAAAAAAACCAAAAAAACAAACAAACAAACAAAAAAAACTAAAGTGAATCTGAGAATTTAGGACACTATATTCTTACTAAATTTTTAATAAAATATGAAAACAGATTTTAAAATAAGGCAAATACAGCTGGAAACAACAAAAATCTTTCCCCAAACTTTTCTTAATAGATTTTAAGTTGAAAACTAGTGATTTTTTGAAGTGTGAAACCTGTCACTTAAGTCTGAAGAATAACTGTTCTGTTTCTCTGAGGTTTGTCTATTATTCTCTATGAAAGAAAACTGGGCGATAGGCTTTTAGCACATCTTGACTGAAGGAATATAAATCCATACTTTGTATAAAATAAATTCAGGACACTCTTATGGCATTTAAAACAACTAAATATAATAAGGGCAACCAAATGAATCTAGAACAACCAGAAAAAGGTAGTTACTGGTATAAATTCAATTTTCTTATCCTGACACTCATCATTTTTGTTGCAGTTACTATATCCTAATTATCCAAGTAACGCGCTTTGTGTTTTTAAAATTGATGTAAAATTATTCAAGAAAATGAATGGTTTGGTGGAGGGAGGAAAAGATGTTAACTCGCATATATAACATCACTCAAATTTTCTTCCCCATACCTCATTAGAATACTGTCAGAGGAACAATGAAAAAGTGTCTCCTAGACAGTCAATACAGTCTGATAAAAACACAATTTTTTTTGCCAAATCACTTCCTCTCCCAGTCTAATAAAATGAACAATTAGTTGCTGCTAGTGGGATATAATCATCATATACTGGACCAATCTGTGAAGGTACACTTCATGTTCATGGCAAAGCTGATCAACAAATAACCTGATAAACCCTCCTTTTAGCGTTTTCATGAACAATTCTGAGAAACTTCTTTTTGGATACAAAATGTCTCTCAAACTTTCTGTGTACTCAAGACAAAGTTTTGCTATCTTTATTAGGAAAGAATATGAAGCCTTAAGGATAAAATTCACGGAAATGTACCAAGAAATGTGTTATTTTTACAGCTAAAAACTTGGGGACATGTCTTATCCACCTACCACTTAACACCTAGTCATGTTTCTTAATCTTTATAACTTTACTTGTGACTCAAAGGGAGCATTTTTAAGTAAAATAGCTATTTATTCAGCCTCTTGTCATGCCAAAATGTTTTGTGCATATACCACTATAATTAGCATACTCTCTGTAACAGGCAAAATTGTACATCAAATTATATTTCATGTTACCTGATTATATAAAAATGTAAAGTGAAAATGATTTATCAATTCCTTATAATATTACTAGTAAATAATTCAGAAGGAGATACGAGGCACAAAATCTTAGTAAAAGGACACAGAAAGAGCAATTAATGTAATTCTCACGTAACTTTAACTTGTCATAATTTGTTGTGAATATACAAAGACAAACTTTTAAAATGTTGTATTTACTAAGACTCTGGCAAGAGCTTTATGTAACAAGACATAGCATACCAGGCCCACCACTCAACTTCTTTATGGTTAAGTTGCAGCTTCAATATGAAGCTGTTACAAAAAAAAAATAATAATAATAAAATAAACAGCCTGCTTTTCACATGCTAAGTATCTTGGCAAGAATGCCATTAAATGCAGTAAGGAATTTAAGATAGCAGAATAAAAAGTTAATAAAAGCTAAACATTACAGCCTAAACAAAATTCATACAAAAAATAAAGTAACTATCACTGGTTACATAAAATTTTCCTAACTGGTTAAAACTTAGTAGTATAAAACATGCATTGTAGAATCTTTAGCTATCAAGTTCAAAAAGTACCAGTGTCTATTTGAAATGACTCCTCTCCAAAGCCAAAGTGTAGTTAAAATTAATGCAAATGTTATAACACATTCTAATGCTAAGAATCATTCAGTATTATTGAAGTGGAGGTAAATCCCAGAGCTTCTGGGGCTTTCTCATGCTGCAAAATGGCTGGTTTTTCTGGTTCACTCAAAGCAGCATATGACAGAGTCCAAGGATGTCACTAAGCTCAGTAAAGAGCAAGACTGTCATACCCAGCTCTGACCTCCCCATAAAGCATGGCTATTGTGTCTGCAAAAATAGGATGTGTGAGGATAAAAGGCACGCTATTCTGCTGGCTAAAGAAATAGCAAACCACCCCCAACCCTAAAAGCTCCTTCTCCAGGTAAATAAAAGTATACAAGGGGAAAAAATTAAAATACACTTATCTACAGAGTAAGGATTTTGAATTATCAATGTAATCCCTACTTCAAAAATGTTAACTAGAATCACCTGGTCATTTCTGATTCCATCTTAATGATGTATCCAGACTGAGTTTCTGATGACTTATCATTAGATATTTCTAGTCAAAAATATTAACTTTATTCCCAAATGTCAACCACTAGTATAATTGCTGTGTATTATCTCCCAGAGTTATTAAGCAATGGAAGAGAAAAAGATGTTCAGGCAGCAGGCAACTATTACAGCCCTTTCACACAGTGGCATCTGAGTGGCTACTGAATAGTCCAGGAATAATTCTAAAAACAATAAAATTCATGCATTTTAGTAAATATATCATAATTTTCACAGTTGAAATTTCCTCAGACATTGCACTTTCTTTTAAGGGAATCCTGATTTTTCTTAATGTTATGGTGAGTCAGGACTTGTACTAGCAGCCTTCTTTTTCTTTTTCTTACTGTGTTTCTTATGCTTCTTTTTCTTTTTTGTTTTTTCCTGTAAAGACAGTTCCATGTTAGACATTTCTATAAAAAAACATGCAAATTAAAAACAACAACTTTACCATGCATAGTTATTTCGAACAATCCACATAACCAAGTAAGCTACTTAAAACATTTCTTGAGAAGTCTCAATAACCAATATCATATGAGGACTGAGAGAGCACTTATTGATTTTCAAAAAGATAAGGAAAAACTCAAGTCATTAACACATTAATATAGCTTTTAACAAAATTTCCTACGGAAAAGAAATTCAACTGAATCATGTTATCAATTGCTATATTACATTTAATTTCTTAAGGTAAAGAAATTGTGGTTACTAAAAAGGAACCCTCATACCAAAACAAAAACAACTGTTTTTGCAAAATGACAGTTTTTCAGAGAACAGATATATTAAATCTATTAAATTTAAGTAAATAGAAACACAGATACTATGTACTGCTTAGGATGGGAGCACTATTTTATTAAATTAACAACTGGTACAAAATATTGATGAATAGTTGAAAAGTCTTATTTAGCTTAGTAAACCAGATGCTTGACTTTCAGAGGAAAATACCGCTGAAGCCTAGAAGAAGCTGTCAAATTGTCACTGATAAAGGGAGCCAGA